AAAGAAAAAAAAAAAGAAAGAAAGAAAGAAAGGGGAAAAAAAAGGTGGCCAGGCAGTAGTGGCTCACACTTTTAGTCTCAGCACTTGGGAAGCAGAGGTAGGTGGATCTCTTTGAGTTCAAGGCTAGCCTGGTCTACAAAGCCAGAGCTATGTAGAGAGACCCTGTCTCAAAAACAAAAAACAAAACCAAAACAAACAAACAAACAAACAAAATAGACTCAAGGTCTTACTAAGATTCTTAGCCCTTTTTAAATTTTGAACTGCACTTAATTTGAGCGTGTAAAGTGTGTGTGTGTGTGTGTGTGTGTGTGTGTGTGTGTGTGTGTGTCTGTGTCTGTGTCTATGTGTCTGTGTGTCTGTGTATCTGTGTCTGTGTGTCTGTGTCTGCATGCACTTGTGCCCTGGTGAGTGTCTGGGGTTCGGAGGACAATGTGCAGGCCTAAGTTCTCTGCTTTTACCTCGTGGGTCGTAGGCATCAAACTCAGGTCCTCAGACTTGGGAGCAAGCACCCATCCCTGATGAACCATCTTGCTGGCTCCAACTGGGCCTCCAACCCTAGTACTTCACTACTTCTCTCTCTCCTCACGAGTAGCTGGGACGGTAGGCATGCCCTGGGTTGTTTTCCCCTTTGTAAATGATACAGGAGCTCACACATTCTGGAAGATCCCATTTGGAGGGATGAATTAATAAATTCCGTTTGGGACACGGACAATCTATGCACCCCTGGACATTCTATGCACCCCTGGGCTACTCAGTGAAACTGTCCAGTAGACAAGTGATTCGAATTGCCAGCAATTCCAGCTTTGGGCGTCATGAGTTCAACCCTGGTCCTTGGAAAATGCGGATGAAGATGAGCGGTCACCCGGCACAGATGACATCTAATGAGAGGTCACCAGCACAGGTATCTAATGGGTGAGAGGTCACCAACACAGGCATCTAACGGGAGAAGAGAAGAAAGCCAAAACACGGTACTCTGGGAAATATGGTTGTTTGTTCTAACTCATTTTAAAAAATTGTCTTAGCACCTTGTGTATGTAAGTCACTGTGCGTGGCAATACGCTTGTACATGTTGGTTTCAAAAGGAGATAGGACAAGAAGACTCAATCTCAGACTCTGTTGACTCATTCACTCTCATCCTGTACTTTTATCTCACCAAACCAACAGCAACAATTGTAATAACAACAATAACAGTAAGGGCCAGTGAGACCCATGCGTGGTCGCTGCCCAGGGTCGGGGTTCATCTTGCTGTCTTAGTCTGGATCCTGTTTGCTGCCCTCTGGGTTTGCATTGATCATGGTTTCTTGCCTCAGTTCTTCAAGCTTTTAAAGAGCTTGTACTTGAACTTACCTCCCACTTCTGGATTCAGAAGGCTAGCCGCCTACTCAATTCGATTTCAGAAGTCTTAAGACCCAGCAGCATCTAGCGAACTCTGATGGTTGGGGAGCAGCAGACTGGGACATTTGATCCAGGCTTTTTGTGAAATAATCTGCCTGCTTTCTGTAGCCTGGTGTTGAGTCTTTTTTTTTTTTTAAGATTTATTTTTATTTTATCTATCTATCTATCTATCTATCTATCTATCTATCTATCTATCTATCTATCTATGAGACAGGGTTTCTCTGTGTAGTCCTGGCTGTCCTGAAACTTGATACCAGGTTGGCCTCGAACTCAGAGACCTGTCTGCTTCTGCCTCCCAAGTGCTGGGATTAAAGATTTATTTTTTAAAATTTTGTATGTGTGCTTAGATAAGTGCATGTGCTCAAGAGGCCAGATGCACCAGACCCCTTGAAGATGGAGTTACAGATGGTTGTGAGCCGCCTGATGTGGGTGCTGGGAATTGAACCTGGGTCCTCTGGAAGAGCAGTAAGTGCTCTTAACCACTGAGGCATCTCTCAAGCCCCAGGTATTTATTCTTGTACCCCATGCACTTGTTTCACAAATGACCTCTTCCTGACCTTGCTACCATGTTTAACACATAGATTCCACCTCCCTTTGCAGTGATATGTAGGCAGACTTTTCTGTCCCACCAGTCAGCTCTGTCCCACCAGCCAGGTCCCAAGTAACCACACAGAGACTTAATTATTAATTATAAATGATCGGCCGATAGCTTAGGCTTGTTACTAACTAGCTCTTATAACTTAAATTAACTCATATTTATTAATTTACGTGCTCCCACATGGCTCATGGCTTGCTACCTTAATTTCTACACATCCTGCTTCCTCTGGCTGATGACTCCATCCTCCTCCTTCCCAGTGTTCTCTCAGTCTGGCTCTCCCACCTAACCTCTTCCTGCCTAGCCACTGGCTCATTGGCTCTTTATTAAATCAATGATAGTAATACATATTCACAGTGCACAAAAGGATTATTCCACAGCAGTGATCAAGCTTCTGTAGTTGGCGGTGACCTCTCAGGAGAAACTCTGCTATGACAGAACTCATGTCATATCTACAGTATAAAGTGATAATAGATTAATAATCAGAATGTTTCTCTTAAGGATAGAGGAACACTATTCTCTTGAACATCAGAAGACACTATTCAATCAAACTCAAAGAGAATTCTTTTTTAAAAAAGATTTATTTATTTATGTATATGAACACTATTTGCATGCATGCCTGCATGACAGAAGAGGGCATCAGATCCCATCATAAATGATTGTGAGCCACTCTGTGGGTGCTGGGAATTGAACTCAGGACTTTCCGAAGAGCAGCCAGTGCTCCTAACCACTGAGCCATCTCTCCAGCCTCCAAAGAGAATTATTGTTTTTTAAATGGTTTATTTATTTTTTATGTGCATTGGTGTTTTGCCTGTATTTATGTCTGTATGAGGGTGTCAGATCCCTTGGAGCTGGATTACAGACAGTTGTGAGCTACCATCTGGGTGCTGGGAATTGAACCTGAGTCCTCTGGAAGAGCAGCCAGTGCTCCCAATTCCATCTCTTCAGCCCTAAAGAGAGTTGTTTTTAAGGCATTGAACACTTGAAAGGTTTCAATCATGGGTTGAAAGTTAGCAGGGTTGAAAGTTAGACTGAAAGAAAACAGTCTAGCACAGTGGTACCTCTAATTTCAGGAGGCTGAGGCAGGAGGCTCATTTTATCCCAGGAATTTGGAGGTAGCCTGGGACTCTATTGTGAGGCCTTGCCTCGTACAGAAATAATAGCGGCAAGGCATGGTGGTACATGTCTGTAATCCCAGGACCAGGAAGATCAAAAAAGGGGCATTGGGAGTTTAAAGCCAGCCTGGGCTATGCACAAGACCCTCCCTCAAAAACAACAGCAGCAGCAACAACCACAAAAAAAGCCTGGAAACAAAACAGAAACTTCCAAACAAATAAAATATACCTTTAAAAAAAGAAGAAAGAGGGCTGGAGAGATGGCTCAGAGGTTAAGAGCACTGGCTGCTCTTCCAGAGGTCCTGAGTTCAATTCCCAGCAACCACATGGTGGCTCACAACCATCTGTAATGAGATCTGGCACCCCTCTTCTGTATACATAGTAAATAAATCTTTAAAAAATAATAATAATAAAGTCTCCGATGCCATTGTGCAAGTTTCTTTAAAAAAAAAAAAGAAGAAGAAAGAAAAGGAGAAAATAAAAAAAAAAGAAAGAAAAACAATAACGTAAAGGGCTGGAGATACAGCTCAATGGTAGAGATTGATCCTAAGTATATATGACGCCATAGGTTCAGTTTTTAGCACTACTAAAAACGGAACAAAAACAAAAGCCCGAGGGGAAGTTAGATGTGAATTTCCTGGCGTGGATATGATGATAGGCATTTGTGGTCTTGGGTGAGAACTATTATTTCTTGTCTTTCCAGCTGTACCAAGGATTCTGCTCACCCCACCCCACCCCGAACCATGTCTGCAGCTGTGGCGTTAACAGTCAGAACCCAAGGTCTTGTTTAGTGGATCCGGGCTTACTGTTGCTAATGAATAAAGCTCATATGGCGTTCATAATAGAGCTGGCTATGAGGCCGGCACTCAAGAGCAGTTCAGGGGCTAGTGGGTGTGAGTGGTTTTAATGAAAGATGACACTTCATAAAATACTCCAGGCCCAGCTGCTGGTGGAAGAAATCCATCCGGGAATTAGCCCCTCAGGAGTAGAAAAGCTGGATTAGTTTAGATTGCCATAAATGAATGAACCAGAAGTATAGGATTGCATGGCCGTCTAGTACGAAAGAATATATTTATTGCAGTTGTAAGTAAACATACTTATAAAATGAACGGAGGCTGTTGTTTCGGGCGTCAAGGTGATTTCTAATCACTCATCAAAAAAAAAAAAAAAAAAAAAAAACATGGAGAAACAGGTGGACGAGACGGCTCAGCAGTTCAATTCTCCGGGCTCACTGGCAGAAGTGAACCAGCTCCCACAAATTCAACTGTCCTCTGACTGACTAGCATCATGGCATGTGCGTGTGCCCCCGCCACCCAGTAAACAGAGAAATATTTGTAAAAGGAAAAATCACACACATACGAAGGAGAAATCAGTCTTGGGCGAATGCAGTGTCTATCTTAAATTGAAACACTGACTTTCATGTTTTTGTTGTGCTTTGAGACAGGGTCTCATGGAACCCAAGCTGGCCTGGAATTTTATGTGGCTGAGGGTGACCTTGAACTATTGATTCTGCCTTCTTGATGCTGGGATTTCAGCGTAAGCCATTCACTACCCTGTTTTTTTTCCCCCCTTGGACTTTTTCTGTGGGATTACAGTCGTAGAGCATTTAGCCATCAGGGGGCGCCCAGGATCCATTCAGCTGCAAACCTGCCCGCTAACCGAAAAAGAGCAAGTATTGGGACTTGTTCATCCCGGTTGCTGTGAAAACTACTGAAAACGTTCCTCTCTAGATTCTGACTCCAAAGGAAAAGGCAAACATGGAGAAGGATTTGGCATGGGTATCTGTTTCCTCCCCCACCCCCACGCCACCCCCCACCCCCCGAGATTAGAGTCACAATAGACTGTAGTTGCACCCGAATGTTGCTGGGTCATGGGCAGAAAGCCACGTCGAGAGGATTACTGTTTGCTCTTTTAGAGTGATATTGTCACTTTGTCTTGGGGCCAGCGATGTAGTGAGGCATAACTGGAATTTCTTCCTTATAAAGTTCTGTCAGTATTTCAGTGGCGCATTCTCGGGTAAGGATATAGGAACCCAGAATTCCATAGTTAGACTATCACTCTTGCCCTCCACCGCCTTTATCTTTTGATACAGGGTCTCTTGGAGCCTAGGGTGGCTTCAGACTCACTGATGGTGTAGTGGAGGGTAGCCTTGAACTCCTGACCTCCCTACCTTTACCTCCCAAGTACTGGTATTGCAGTTGTGTGCCAACACACCCAACCTTGGCACATTTAAGAAACAAAACAAAACAAAACAATTCTTCATCCGTTTCCTGGCACCGAGATTAGAATCTAGGGACTCAGACATGTTAAACACTCTGAACTGATCTGCATTCCAAGCCACTCTTGGTCAAGGTCTAGGTTTTATTCTTACCTGTGTAAGGGTAGGGAATGAGGAGACAGAATACTCAGTTTTGTTTGATTGATTAAATAAAGAATCAGAGGCAATCACAGTGGTTGTTCCAAGTACACAATACTGAGAAGGACAAGTGACTAGTCACAGGCATCCAGGCCATTTAGAGAGATGGCCACAGCCTGAGGGCCAGATAGAATCCTCACATTTTCATCAAAGGTTCTACCACAGAATGTTCGAAGGTATTGGCTCCTGCTAACCTGGCTGACAAATGGCCTCGGAACACAGCAGAGACATAGAGACATGTCACACTGTTGCTGATGAAGCAGGGCCTCTCTGTATACCATGTCCTGGAACAGAGCTGGAGCTGGATGAGACTTTTTCTTCTTTTCTTTCTTTCTTTCTTTCTTTCTTTCTTTCTTTCTTTCTTTCTTTCTTTCTTTCTTTCTTTCTTTCTTTCTTTCTTTCTTTCCTTCCTTCTTGGTTTGGTTTGGTTTTTCAAGACAGGGTTTCTCTGTGTAGCTTAGTGCCTTTCCTGGAACTCACTCTGTAGCCCAGGCTGGCCTCGAACTCACAGGGATCCACCTGCCTCTGCCTCCCAGTACTGGGATTAAAGGCAAGTGTGTGCCGCCACCACCCAGCGAATGAGACTTTTTCAATCATCCTGTTTCAGCTCTCTCTCTCCAAGAGAAAAGTGTTGATTCATGTAGAATCCTAAGTCTCAGCATCCTCCCATTTATTCCATTTTGTTGTTATTTAAATGGAGTGTCACTCTGCAGTCCTAGCATGGGCTGCAGCCCTCTGCGAGACCAAACTGACCTCCAACTTCCCTCCATCCTCTTGGCTTTGCCTCTCCAGTGCTAGGATTTTTTTTTCCTTTTTGAGACTCGGGGTTCCTTCTCCAGAACCAAAGTAAACAAAAACAAATACTCCCCATCCCCCATTTTCCTTAAATACACATTAAGTCCCACACTGTAGAACTGGTTGTATAAATTTATTTACTTATTTATTCATATATTTATTTTGGGGCCCAGTGACCAAACTCATGCTCACACATGTTCTTTGGGCTAACCATTGAGCTACAATTCCCTGTTCTAAAGGTAATTCAGGGAAAAGAGAGATTGATAAAGAAAATTACATATAGCCAGGCAGCGGTGGTGCACGTCTTCAATCCCAGCATTCAGGAGGCAGAGGCAGTCTGATCTCCATGAGTTCAAGGCCAGCATGGTCTACAGAGAGAGCTCCAGGATAGCCAAGGCTACACAAAGAAACCCTGTCTCAAAAAGAAAAAAAAAATTGTGTATAAAGTTTTCCCTATCTCCTTTATTTTTGAGGTCTAAAATATTTTCTTGTTTTTGTTTTTTGTTTTTCACTCATGGAAAAGAATGCAACATTTCTTGAGCTGTAATATTGGAAACAACAAGAAGCCATCAAATGGCAAGGAACCAAAGCAGAAAGAAAATGCTGTCAAGGTTTGCTTTTGTTCACTGACCCCTTGGCTTCCCTCATGACCCACTTTGGCTGGCCCTTGCCTCATCTGCTCTGTGGTTTGACCCCGCCTCAGGGTGGCACTGGCTGGGCCGACTTCTGACTGGCACACACATTTTTTTTGTTTTTCCCCTCACTAATCCTTTGCACAGAAGAGATGCCCTGAGTGCAGTTTTGGGCGAGAAGAATCTCCAAAATATGTGGGTGTGAATCTCGCCAAAGGGTCAGTTGCATTTGGAGCACAGATACCAGCCTGGAACCAGGTCACATTTTAATAAAAGTGCACACTCAGCACGGCATTGTGTTTTTCAAAGAGGTGATTTCCAGCCATGGAGAGCACAGGGAGAAGCAGGCATTCGGGTGGAACTGCCTTGAGCCAGGGCTCTGTGTGCCCTGACTGCTGGTGGGCAGGACCAAAAATACTCCTGGGGACGTGGGGAAGGGGGTTGGATAGGTATAATTGCGTCTGGGGAATCACTAACTGTGACTCGTTAAAGAGGAAAAAAAATCTAGGAATTCATTTTAAAAAGACCTCAAAATTATGAACGTGGGAATACTAGAAATAATTCTACAGGGGAATGTCCTGTATACACACTGAGAACTGTGAACAAGCAATGAGATAGAATTTTTCTGGTTCCACTTAAGACATTTCTATGCACTTTCGAGTAAAAGCATAAACCTCTTTAGTAAACTTTGTTATAAGTGCCACTATTTCTTATCGAGAATGTGTTTGTATGTGTTAATGTATTTGGGGCCATCTGTAAGTGGCAAGCAACATAAATGAAGTTAGTTCCCTTCTATACGTTTCTTTAGTTGTTTGTTTTGTGTTTTGAGACAAGGTCTCACTATGAAGCCCTGGCTGTCCTGGAACTTACTATGTAGATCATGCTGGCCTTGAACTCAGAGATCTGCCTGCCTCTGCCTTCCTTCCAAGTGCTGGGTAGAACAAGACACAGACGTCTTGAAGCATCGAAGGGGAAAATGACCATATTAAGATTCTCAGGAAACACCAAAAAAAGACTAAAAAGCCACAGGATGACTTGAAGGGTTGGCAAATACTGTGGCCAATTGAGAGCCAGCACCCAGAGGTGAGAAATCCAAACAATAAACTGTCAAAAGTGGCCCCCTAGGAAAAAGGTGAAAACGAGACGGGAGGAAGTTCGTAAAAGTAGGTGTGCAAATGGACGATAGAATATGTGACAAAGGGCACGTGACCTCGTTTCTAATGAGACTGTGGATTTGAATCCACACAAAACCACCAGCTTTGCAAAACTAAGAAAGCCCGGCAGAAGCAGGGGCTCCTGGGGGCAGAGGCCAGTAGCTCCCATGCATGTCTAGGGGCCGTGCAAATAGGAACAAGCACTTTAGAAATGATTTCTCCTTTACAAGTGAGGCTGAAGATAAGCATGTCCTATGACAGGCTAATTCCACATCAGCCATGTTTGTTCAGATTATTATAGCTCATTTAAAAACTTTTCAGCTGAAGGCAGTTGATTTATTATTTTTATTTTTTTATTTTTATTTATTTTTTTTAAAGATTTATTTATTATGTATACAGTGAGTGTTCGGCCTGCAGGCCAGAAGAGGGCACCAGATCTCATTGTAGATGGTTGTGAGCCATCATGTAGTTGCTGGGAATTGAACTCAGGACCTCTGGAAGAACAGCCAGTGCTCTTAACCTCTGAGCCATCTCTCCAGCCCTTATTACTTTTATTTTTAAATTTTGTGTGTGTGTGTGTACATATGTACATACCCACAAATACAGGTGCTCACAGAGGCCAAAGTGTCTGACTACCCAGAGCTGGAGTTGTGAGCCACTGTCTCAGGGTTTCTATTGCTATGAAGAGACACTGTGACCACAACAACTCTCATAAAGGAAAGCATTTAAGTGGGGCTGGCTTACAGTTTCAGAGGTTCAGTCCATTGTCATCATGGCGGGAAACATGGCGGCCTGCAGGCAGACGTGGTGCTGGAGAAGGAGCTGAGCGTTCTGTTTCTGGACTGGCAGGCAGCAGAAGTGAGTGCCACACCAGGCCCCATGCCGGGTCCCACCCGACCATCGAACAGTCTTAAAGGGAGGAATGAGGATTAAGAAATAATAGATATAAAAAAAAAATAGAGATATAAAAGAAAAAGACAGAGACACAGAATAGCATCGGGAGGGCTCTGGGTCAATACCACAGTTGCCCCGAGTTTATTCCTCATGGGCTTTTATACACCGGCAAGGGGAGAGGCAAAAGACCTCCCCCTCTCAAGGACCAAGTACAGACAAGTGTAAATACTTTCTTAATTCTCAAAACATCTAGTGGCCACGCCTTACAGCAAAACATCCTGTAATTAGGCCTTGAAGTATAAGACACCTGGTAACCACGCCTTTGGCCAAAACATCCTATTATGCAGCCTTGTGGGACAAAACAAGCTCCGACTCTCTGACCTTGAGTCAAGATGGAATAAGTCCACATTATGGAGTCTCTGTGGGCCCCCATGGCCTAGCTTGAGCATCTAAGACCTCAAAGCCTGCCCCCACAGTGACACACTTCTTCCAACAGGGCCACACCTACTCTAACAAGGCCACACCTCCTAATAGTGCCACTCACTATGGTCCAAGCATTCAAACACATGAGTCTATGGGGGCCATACCCATTCAAACCACTGTAGCCACTTAGTGTGGATGCTAGAAATATGGAACTCAGGTCCTCTGGAATGTGCTCCTAACTACTGAGCCGTATCTCTAGATCCTATTGTTCATTTAATAGTGTTCGTAACAGAATACTTTACAGTAGCCCTCAGATAGAAAGAGCAAAAATGCCCACAGGTGACCAATAGAGGAATGAAATGCAGTGTGTGTGTGTGTGTGTGTGTGTGTGTGTGTGTGTGTGTATGTGGTTTTTCACGTTACTTTGTTATTTATGTGTATGTGGAGGTATGTTTATGTAATGGTGTGTGTATGGAGATGAGAGGACAATTTACAGGGGTCAGCTCTCTCCTTCTACCACGTGGGTCCTGGAGATCAAACTCAGGTCATCAGGTTTGACAAGTACCTTTGCCCACCGACCAATCTTGTTGGCCGTGTTGTATATTTATTAAAAAGAAAATGACTTAGTGTGGTGGTTGAATAAGAATGACCCCCGTAGGCTTAGTCATCAGGGGGTGGCTCTACTTGAGAAGGATTAGAAGGTGTGGTCTGGTGGGAGGAAGCGTGTCACGGAGGGTAGTCTAGTGTCTCTGTTGACTGCCTACCGAACCAGATGGAGGTCTCAGCTCCTTCTTCAGCACCACGTCTGCCTGCATGCTGCCATGCTCTCTGCCATGACGATAACAATGGGCTAAACCTCTGGAATTACATAAGCAAGCCGTAGTTTAATGGTTCCCTGTATAAGAGTTGCCATGGTCATAGTGTCTCTTCACAGCATTGAACACCGATTAAGACACACAGCAACGAAAACAAACTGTAGCTGCCAGCAACAATGTGAAACAGAAGAAATAAGAGCAAAGAGTATGGTTTAAAAGTGGGCAGAACTGAGCTGTGTTATTGAATGGTACACGTGTGTCTTCCTTACCTTCTGGTTGCTGTGATAGAATACCCTGAAGAGCAACTTCCAAGAGGACGGGTTTATTTCACGTCACAGTTCCAAGGGGTCCATCCTGGCAGGGAGATGTGTCAGCAAGAGCAGAAAGCTGCCTGGTGACACTGTGTCTGTATTCAGGAAGCAGGGCATGAGAGGGAAGCGGGACCCAGCATCAAAGCTTCGAGGGTCTCCTCGGATGACCTGCTTCTTCAGTTAGGTGCCACCTCATAAAGATTCCCCAGAAACGGTGCTGCGGGGGACCAGACGGTCAAACACTTGAGCCTGTGGGGCCATTTCACATTCAAACCGCAAACACGTGAGGAGTAAAACTTTAGAAAAGTGAGGAAATGATAGTGGGAGTTAAGGGAATGGATAGTGCTGGGCACTGGTGGCACACAGCTTTAATCCCAGCACTCAGGAGGCAGAGGCAGGTGGATCTTTGTGTTCGAGGCCAGTGTGGTCTACAGAGCGAGTTCCAGGAAAGGCGCCAAAGCTACACAGAGAAACCCTGTCTTGAAAAGCCAAAAGCCAAAACAAGGGGTAATGGCTAGCTCCAGCAGGGTGGGAAAAGAGGAGCAGGATCCGTTTTCCATGGTTAGCAAATAGGAGGGACAAGCACAGGGCATTCAGGAGTTGCAGAGAGAGCTTGTCTTAAGAGAAGACATCTAAAAGACATTTAGGGTTGTCACCAACACTTTAAGATAGTTGATAACCACAGCTGCCCTGATGTTACTAGCAGTATGCAAGTGTCCTCCCAGCCAATTAATCACAGTGGTCCCTTTGATTTCAGTAACTGCCAAAGGATAAACAATCAAGGGTAGTGTGGACGTTTGGATTTTAATTAATAGGATGACAGGTAGGAGGGAAGTGGAGTGGGTATGGACAAGGAAAAGAAGAAAATGTAGCTGGCTAAAGTGCCCAGGAAGGAAATGTGGGATACTTACTGCTCAGGGCCACAGACTTCAGAGATCGTCACGTGTAATGTAATGGAAGATCACAGTTCAAAACAGGTCTGGAGGTAAGGCTTCCCACGGGGAGTCAGCAGAGCCTGGTCCATTCGGTTGAGGCAGGTCCAGACCCCTCCCCCTACCTCAAGGCTGTGCAAGGTGTCCCACTATAGGTAATGGACTCCAAAAAGCCAGCTCATGCACCAGGGATGGATCCTGATCCCACTGCCAGGAGCCCCTTGAGCAGATCAGGCTACACAACTGTTTTGAGAAAATAAAGCCAGAATGTCAAACCTGAAAAAAAAAACTGCAACCAATTTACAAAAATAAATAATAAAAATAAATAAATAAAAATGAAGCAAGGAAAAACAAAACAAAACAAACAAACAAACAAACAACAAACAAAAACCAGGTCTGGAGAGATGGCTCAGCAGTTAAGAGCACATGTTGCTTTAGCAGAGGACCCAGGTTCAGTTCCAGGGGACCTGACACCCTCTTCTGACCTTCATGGCCACCAGGCAAACACTCACACTTTTTTTTTTTTGTTGTTGTTGCTGTTGTTTGTTTTTTTGAGACAGGGTTTCTCCGTGTAGTTTTGGTGCCTGTTTTGGATCTCACCCTGTAGCCCAGGCTGGCCTCGAACTCACAGAGATCCGCCTGGCTCTGCCTCCCGAGTGCTGGGATTAAAGGTGTGCGCCACCGCCGCCTGGCTAAAATAAAACTTTAAGAAAAAGTCAGAAGAGGAAGGGGGTCAGAATGAGAAGTAGAAG